AGAATAAAAGGGTTTTGTGGTTATTTAAATTGTGCTTTTCATATTTGGGAGGAAGGAAGGAATACTGAGCAACTTTTGAATTTGTTAGATCAATTTGTAGGTAGTGTATAAAAGCTAACCATTAAAAGATTAGAAATATAATCTGTATCTTCAAAATTATTATAGAGGGGAAAAAGTAATATAGAAAAGTTTGTCAACCAACAAAAGGCTAGGAAAGAACGGTAAAAAAGAAATGAGAAAAGATAAGGAATAGAAAACCAAAATGGTATGGTAGAGTGAAATCCAAATTTGTCAACAATTATAATAAATTTTACTAAATTAACATTAAAAGACATTTTCACATGGCAAGGAGCACATAAACCGACTACATGCACTTTATAAGAAATACAGCATAACAAAATCCACAAAGAAATGATGAAAATAAAAGAATAGTAAAATACATATTATAAAAGTACTTAAAAAAATAAGGAAGTTGGAATAATAATATCTGTATCAGGCCAAATAGAATTTAATGCAAATAGCATTAATAGGAACAAAAAGTGACAATGTAGAAAAGGGACACTTTACCAAATTGATATAACAATCATAAATTAGAACACAGCTTCTACATATTTAAAGTATAATGAAAAGGAGACCAAATGATGAGAAATCACCAAAACCACAAACACAGTTGAAGATTTCAATGTATCTCTATTAGGAGGTGATGTTTTGTTTTAAAAAGGCTACAGAACATGTTAACAAAAAATGTTTAAGTTTGATATAATAATTACATATAACATATATACTCCCCAAATAGTAAGAATATGCATTTGTAACAGGCATAAAATTGACCCTGTGCTCAATAGTAAAAGAAGTACAATAAACCTTTAAAATCACTAAAATTCAGATGATAGTCCCTGTCCGAAGTACAAATACATTAGAAATCCAGATTTTTTTTAAAAAGTGATTAAGGCCGGGTGCAGTGGCTCATGCCAATAATCCCAGCACTTTGGGAGGCTGAGGTGGGTGAATCACAAGGTCAGGAGTTCAAGCCCAGCCTGGCCAAGATAGTGAAACCCCGTCTCTACTAAAAATACAAAAAGTAGTCCGGTATGGTGGCAGGTGCCTGTAATCCCAGCTACTCGGGAGGCCGAGGCAGAGAATCGGCTTGAACCCCGGAGGCAGAGGTAGCAGTGAGCCAAGATCACACTGCTGCACTCCAGCCTGGGTGACAGAGCAAGATTCCATCTCAAAAAAAAAAGAAAGAGCCGGGCGCGGTGGCTCACGCCTGTAATCCCAGCACTTTGGGAGGCCGGGGCGGGCGGATCACAAGGTCAGGAGATCGAGACCACGGTGAAACCCCGTCTCTACTAAAAATACAAACAAAAAATTAGCCGGGCGCGGTTGTGGGCGCCTGTAGTCCCAGCTACTCGGGAGGCTGAGGCAGGAGAATGGCGTGAACCCGGGAGGCGGAGCTTGCAGTGAGCCGAGATCGCGCCACTGCACTCCAGCCTGGGCGACAGAGCGAGACTCCGTCTCAAAAAAAAAAAAGAAAATGAACACAAATACCCCAACGGTGAGAAAATGTTAGCAAAGCAGATATCTGACAAAGGACTAGTAGCAAAGATATATAAACAATTTTAAAATTATAAAGACACCACTTCACACGTAGTAGATGGGTTATAAATGTTAAAACTGACCATACCAAGTGTTGGTAAGGATGTTGAACAACTGGAACTCTTACACACTGTTCGCAGGAATGTGAAATAGAATAACCACTTTGGAAAACAGTTTGGTAATTTTTTAAAAAGTTAAACATTTACCAACTGTGATGGTTAATACTGAGTGTCAACTTGATTGGATTGAAGGATTCAAAGTATTGATCCTGGGTGTGTCTGTGAGGGTGTTGCCAAAGGAGATTAACATTTGAATCAGTGGGCTGGGAAAGGCAGACCCACTCTTAATCTGTGTGGGCAAAATCTATTCAGCTGCCAGCACGGCTAGAATATAAGCAGGCAGAAAAATGTGAAAAGAGAGACTGGCCTAGCTTCCCAGCCTACAGCTTTCTCCCATGCTGGATGCTTCCTGCCCTTGAACATCGGACTCCAAGTTCTTCGGTTTTGAACTCGGACTGGCTCTCCTTTCTCCTCAGCCTGCAGATGGCCTATTGTGGGACCCTGTGACTGTGTGAGTTATACTTTAATAAACTCCCCTTAATATTACATTAATTCAGCTGGGCGCGGTGGCTCACGCCTGTAATCCCAGCACTTTGGGAGGCTGAGGCGGGCGGATCACAAGGTCAGGAGATCGAGACCACGGTGAAATCCCGTCTCTACTAAAAATACAAAAAAATTAGCCAGGCGCGGTGGTGGGCGCCTGTAGTCCCAGCTACTTGGGAGGCTGAGGCAGGAGAATGGCATGATCCCAGGAGGCGGAGCTTGCAGTGAGCCAAGATTGCGCCACTGCACTCCAGCCTGGGGGACAGAGCGAGACTCCCTCTCAAAAAAAAAAAAAAAAAAAAAAAATTACGTTAATTCTGTCCCTCTAGAGAAGTATATTCCATTACTTCTGTCCCTCTAGAGAACCCTAATACACCAACCATACAACTCCGCCATTCCACTCCTAGGTATTTGCTCACAAGAAATGAAAACTTATGTTCACATAAAGACATATACACAAATATTCATAGCCAAAATCTGGAAACAACATAAATGTCCACCAACAGGTGAATCTACAAACAAATTGTGGTATATCTACACAATGGGATACTACTTAGCAATAAAAAGGAAATGAACTATCAATATATACAACAACATGAATGAGTCTCAAAATTATTCTCAAACAGTAGGGTTTCTAGGCAATTTAAGGGTATTGTTCCTCAGTAGTCTAAGTCAAAGCCCAAAAGAGAGAAGGGCCTATATCAAAGGGTCTGGCTTTTATCTAACGAAGTGACTCCCAATAAGATTTGCAGAGATCTGTAAGATTTCTGAAAGAAATATATATAGAGAAGCATAACCAGGTTGGACAGAAAGGGACACAGACAGTATGAAATGAAAAGAGGCCTTTGGGTTCCAAAATTCTGCTAGCAAGGAGGCTAAGAAAAACTCCTTCTTTTCCTCTTTTCTTTGCTAGACAAGGTGATTCTAATGTTCATATGGAAAAATAAGCAAAACAAGCCTGAAAATTCTGAAAAAGAGTATTTAGGGGATGTAGCCCCCCAAAATAAACTATATCATAAACAATGTGTTTATAAATCAATAATTAGACTAGAAAGAATAGGAATTGAATGCAAATACATATAAAAATATACCATAACAGCAGCATTTCAAATTAGAATCAAAAATCTTTTTTTTTTTTTTGAGATGGAGTCTCTCTGTCCCCTAGGCTGGAGTGCAGTCGTGCGATCTTGGCTCACTGCAAGCTCCACCTCCCGGGTTCAGGTCATTCGCCTGCCTCAGCCTCTCGAGTAGCAGGAACTACAGGCGCCCACCACCACACCCGGCTAATGTTTTTGTATTTTTAGTAGAGATGGGGTTTCACCGTGTTAGCCAGGATGCTCTCGATCTCCTGACCTTGTGATCCACCCTCCTTGGCTTCCCAAAGTGCTGGGATTACAGGCGTGAGCCACTGCGCCCAGCCAGAATCAAAAACCTTTTTAAGCAAATGGTGCTGGAGTAAGTGAGGAGTTATTTGGGGGAAAAAAAAGTTGGGGGGTTGGGCGCGGTGGCTCACGCCTATAATCCCAGCACTTTGGGAGGCTGAGGCGGGCAGATCACGAGGTCAGGAGATCAAGACCATCCTGGCTAACACAGTGAAACCCCGTCTCTACTAAAAATACAAAAAATTATTTTTTGTATTTCCAGGCATGGTGGCAGGCACCTGTAGTCCCAGCTACTCAGGAGGCTGAGGCAGGAGAGTGGCGTGAACCTGGGAGGCAGAGCTTGCAGTGAGCCGAGATCGTGCCACTGCACTCCAGCCTGGGCAACAGAGCAAGACTCTGTCTCAAAAAAAAAAAAAAAAAAAAAAAAGTTGGGGCCTGCATGGTGGCTCAAGCCTGTAATCCCAGCACTTTGGGAGGCTGAGGCGGGTGGATCACAAGGTCAGGGGTTCGAGACCAGCCTGACCAACATGGTGCTACTCCATCTCTACTAAAAATACAAAAATTAGCCAGCCATGGTGGCGTGCACCTGTAATCCCAGCTCTTCAGGAGGCTAAGACAGGAGAATTGCTTGAACCCAGGAGGCGGAGGTTGCAGTGAGTCAATATCGTGCCACTGCGCTCCACTCTGGGCGGCAGAGCGAGACTCCATCTCAAAAAAAAAAATTGGATCCACACTTTGTAGTGTAATATGAATAAAGTTAAAGAGGAATAACATATTTTACTATCGAGAAAAGTAAATAATAAATATACTTTTAAAATCCTGGGATTGACAAGGCACAGTGGCTCATGCCTGTAATCGCAACCCCTTGGGGGGCCAAGGCATGAAAATCACTTGAGTCTAGGAGTTCAAGACCAGCCTGGGCAACACAGCAAGACCCTGTCTCTACAAAAAAAACAAAAAAATTAGCTGGGCAGGGTGGTGCATGCTTATAGTCCCAGCCACTTAGGAGGCTGAGGTAGGAGGATCACTTGAGCCCAGGAATTCAAGGTTACAGTGAGCCATAATCGGGCCACTGCATTCCAGCCTGGGGAACAAAGTAAGATCCTGTATGTTAAAAAAGAAGAAATAAAAGAAAGAAAAGAAAAAAAATAAAGAAAGAAAGAAAGAGAAAAAGAGAGTTCAAGACCAGTCTGGGCAATATGGTGAAACATCATCTCTACAAAAAATAAAAAATAAAATAATTAGCCAGCCATAGTGAAACATGCCTGTAGTCCCAGCTACGCAGCAGGCTGAAGTGGGAAGTTAGATTGAGTCCAGGGAGTCGAGGCTGCAGTAAGGTACGATCACGCCACTGCACTCCAACCTGGATAATAGAGGGACACCCTGTCTCACAAAACAAACAAACAAACAAAAAACCCTAGATTCTTTGTTTTATAAAATAATTGATAAATCTAACTAAATAAAAATAACATGGCACAAGTCACCATAAACAACATAAAAGGCAAAAACTAAGCAAAATATTTTTGAATCATGGTACAGATAAAAGACTAATTTCCGGGAGGTTGGCGGCGCGGGGCTGAAGGCTAGCAAACCGAGCGATCATGTCGCACAAACAGATTTACTATTCGGACAAATACGACGACGAGGAGTTTGAGTATCGACATGTCATGCTGCCCAAGGACATAGCCAAGCTGGTCCCTAAAACTCATTTGATGTCTGAATCTGAATGGAGGAATCTTGGCGTTCAGCAGAGTCAGGGATGGGTCCATTATATGATCCAGGAACCAGAACCTCACATCTTGCTGTTCCGGCGCCCACTACCCAAGAAGCCAAAGAAATGAAGCTGGCAAGCTACTTTTCAGCCTCAAGCTTTACACAGCTGTCCTTACTTCCTAACATCTTTCTGATAATATTATTATGTTGCCTTCTTGTTTCTCACTTTGATATTTAAAAGATGTTCAATACACTGTTTGAATGTGCTGGTAACTGCTTTGCTTCTTGAGTAGAGCCACCACCACCATAGCCTAGTCAGATGAGTGCTCTGTGGACCCACAGCCTCAGCTGAGTGTGACCCCAGAAGCCACGATGTGCTCTGTATCCAGAACACACTTGGCAGATGGAGAATCTGAGTTTGAGACCATGGCTGTTAACAGAGATCATGTAAACTTGCTGTTTTTGTTTTTTTCCTGCCGGGTGTTGTATGTATGGTGACTTGTGGATTTATGTTTCAGTGTACTGGAAACTTTCCATTTTATTCAAGAAATCTGTTCATGTTAAAAGCCTTGATTAAAGAGGAAGTTTTTATAATCTTAAAAAAAAAAAAAAAAAAAAGACTAATTTCCCTAAAGTGCTGAAAGTTCTCAAATCAATACAGTGTTAATACCTAAATTTTTAAAATGGCCCATGAACGAATTTTCCTGTAAGAGGAAATAAAGATGGCTCTTTAGCATATGGAAAGATAACCTCACTCATAAAAGAAATGCTAATTAAAACTGTCATGAACTGACTTTTTTTAACCTATCAATTATCCAATAATCCAAAAATCTAATAACACACTGAGCAAGAGAATGGGGAAATAGGCACTTCTATACACTGATGTTAATAGGTGTAAACTCTGTGAAGGACAATTTTATGATATCCAGTTTACAAGTGTACATGCTCTTTGGCCCAATACTTTTTGTTCTGGAAATTTAAACTATACATATGCTAGTTTTTGAAACAATAATATGTATTAAACATAATACTGTTAAATGGAAAAAAAAGCAAATTACAGGACAGTGCACTATGGAACCATTTATATAAAAAGATACATTTACATTTATATTTTTGCTTATATTTGTATGGAATTCCTCTGGAGAAGTATACACAAGAAGCAGATTAGATTGCTTGACTGTAGGGAAGAGGACTATGTAGCTGATATAAAGAGGTAGGTAGTAGGAAGACTGAAAAGGGTCTACTTAAAAAATTTGGGATGTATTTTAAAAGTAAATTATGGGCCAAGTGCAGTGGCTCATGATGTAATCCCAGCATTTGGCTCACAGTTTACTTCATGGGAGGCCCAAGTGGGAGGATCACTTGAGGCCAGGAGTTCAAGATGAGCCTGGGCAACATGGCAAGACCCCATCTCTACAAAAAACAAAAAAATTAGTTGGCCATGGTGGCATGCTACACCTGTAGTCCCAGCTATTCTGGAGGCTGAGGCAAGAGGATCACTTGAGCCCAGGAGTTCAAGGCTGCAGTGAATATGATCATGCTGCCACACTCCAGCCTGGGCAACAGAGAAAGACCCTGTCTCAAAACAAATGTTAAGTAAATTATAATAAAATTTTAAAAATTCAAAGGACTCCAAAATTTAGAACTAATAAGAGAGTTTAGTGAAGTTACAGGATACATCAGTAGTGTTCTATACATTAGCAGTAGTGAATCTGAAAACACAAGAGGAAAAAAGGGAGAGATTTTTTAAAGGACAGAAAATTACAGCTAGATAAGAGGAATAAATTCTAGTGTTTTACACCACTGTAGGATGACTATAGTTAATAGTAATATGGTATATAGTTTTAAATCACTAGAAGGAGGATATTAAATGCTCCTGACACAAAGAAACAATAAATGTTTGAGATGATGGATATGCTAATTACCCTGAACTGACTACTATACTTCATATGTATTGAAACATCACTGTGTACCCTATGAATATGTAAAATCATCATTTTTCAATTAAAAAAAAAATTAGGCAGGCACAGTGGCTCACGCCTATAATCCTAGCATTCTGGGAGGCTGAGATGGGAGGATCACTGGAGCCCAGGAGTTCAAGACCAGCCGGGGCAACACTGTGAGACCCCATCTCTATAAAAAATAAATAAAATTAAAATACAAAAAAATCCCATTTAAAATACCAACAACAACAAAATTAAGTGGTACCTATGCCATAAAGAAAATTATAAAAATATTTAAAAATACAAAGAAAAGAGAGACATAAATAGAGAGCTATACTATATTTATGGATGTTAAGATTCATAATCACATCAATGCATGAATGGATAAAGAAAATGTGGTATATATACAGGATGGAATACTATTCAGCCTTTAAAAAGAAGGAAATTCTGGCATTTGTGACAACATGGATGAACCTGGAGGGCATTCTGCCAAGTGAAATAAGTCAGACACAGAAAGACAAATGCCATATGAGCTCACTAACATGTGGAATCAAAAACAATTGAACTCATAGAAGCAGAGAGTAGAATGGTGGTTTCTAGGACTGGGGGTGGGAGAAGGTGGAAGGGAAAGCCAGGAGATGTGTTGGTCAAAGAGTACGGAATTTCACTTAGACAGGTGGAATAATTTCAGAAGATCTATGGTACAGCATGGTGACCATAGTTAATAACAATTTATTGTATACTTGAAAATTGCTGAGAGTAGATTTTAAGTGCTGTCACCACAAATAAACGATAAGCATGTGAGGCAATGCATATATTTATTAGCTTGATTTAGCTATTCCACAATGTGTACATATTTCAAAACATCATGTTGTATACCATAAGTATATATTAATACAATTTTTATTTGCCAATTAAAAATAATTTTTAGGCCAAGTGCAGTGGCTCACACCTGTAATCCTAGCACTTTTGGTGGCCAAGGTGTGAGGACAACTTGAAGCTGGAGTTCGAGACCAGCCTGCACAACATAACAAGACCTCATCTCTGGCCGGGCGCGGTGGCTCAAGCCTGTAATCCCAGCACTTTGGGAGGCTGAGACGGGCGGATCACGAGGTCAGGAGATCGAGACCATCCTGGCTAACACAGTGAAACCCTGTCTCTACTAAAAAAATACAAAAAAACTAGCCGGGCGAGGTGGCAGGCACCTGTAGTCCCAGCTACTCGGGAGGCTGAGGCAGGAGAATGGCGTGAACCTGAAAGGAATGAGGCACATCCTCCATATATCTCCCAACTTCCTGAGCCCAGCACAAACACATTCCTCCATATTTCTCTCAAACTTCAGAAAAACACCACCTAGGAAATCCCCGATAAGGACACAGCGGGAACCAATAAAAAATGCTAAATGTGCTGTAACCGAGAGAATTACCTTGTTCCCCTGTAACTTTACATATCCTGTTTACATCGGGCTATAAAAAGCAAGCACTCGCATTGTTCGGGGCCCTCTTGTATGCTGTGGAATGGAGGGACCAAGTTCGAACTTGCAATAAAGATCCTTGCCACTTGGCTTTGACTCTGGACTCTGGTGGTCTTCTTTGGGGAACAAACGGTCTGGGCATAACATCTGGGGGCTCGTCCGGGATTCCCCAAGCCCACCAGACCCCTGGTCAACGGATCTACCAAGATCGATCTACTGATAAGTGAGCCGGCTCGTCTCCGTTTGTCTGTCTGTGTCTGTTCTGAATCTGAATCTGTGACTGGTGAGGTCTGAAACTGGAACTGGCGCAGTCCTGGTGGACGCGCTATAGGACAGCCAGCGGAGACCGGTGGGAGACGTCCCCTGGCTCTCGTCTGATCTAGATTGTGATCCGAGCTGCCGGAGCGCAATCGCGATCCCAGCGGCTAACTCTGACCTGGGCTTCTGGTGCGCGCTTGCGATCTGAGCTGCCGGAGCGCAATCGCGATCCAGGCAGCTAACTCTGACCCAGGCTTCCGGTGCGCGCTTGCGATCTGAGCTGCCGGAGCGCAATCGCGATCCAGGCAGCTAACTCTGACCCGGGCTTCCGGTGCGCGCTTGCAATCTGAACTGCCCTGGTTTGGCGGGCAGCGGCTATCTCTGATCTGGGCTGCCCGGGCGGGATCGCGATCCAGGCAGCTAACTCTGACCCGGGCTTCCGGTGCGCACTTGCAATCTGAACTGCCCCGGGTTGGCGGGCAGCAGCTATCTCTGATCTGGGCTGCCCGAGCACGATGGCGATCCAGGCAGCTAACTCTGACCCGGGCTTCCGGTGCGCGCTTGCGATCTGAGCTGCCGGAGCGCGATCGCAATCCAGGCAGCTAACTCTGACCCGGGCTTCCGGTGGGCGCTTGCAATCTGAACTGCCCCGGTTTGGCGGGCAGCGGCTATCTCTGATCTGGGCTGCCCGAGCGTGATCACGATCCAGGCAGCTAACTCTGACCAGGGCTGCCAAAGTGCGCCTGCTACTAGATATCATTAATAAGTCAGATCAGATTTCCTTTACAGGGATTCTAACCCACATTCCTTTACAGGAAGAGAGTACAAATTATTACAGGATGGGTAATACCCAGAGCACTCCTCTATCTCTCCTTACAAGTAATTTCAAAGAAGTTAGAGCAAGGGGCCATGATCTTGGTATAGAAATCAGGAAAGGAAAGCTAATTACTCTGTGTCGCTCCGAATGGCCTGCCTTTGATGTGGGGTGGCCACCCGAAGGGACCTTCCGACTTGCTGTCATCACTAGGGTAAAGTCCAAGATTTTCCTACTTGGGCATGCGGGCCACTTAGATCAAATCCCATATATCCTCATATGGCAGGACCTTGTTGAGAACCCGCCTCCTTGGCTGTCCCCTTTCCAATTAGCCTCTGAACCCTGTAAGGCACTGGTTGCTCGACCACTAAAATCCAAGCAACCAACTGCCCCTCCCCATCCTGTTCTACCTGACAGCGGGGACCCACTGTTCACAGAACCCCCTCCGTACCCCTCCGGGCCCCAGGCCCCAGCCCCCCGGGTTGAGCCGGCGGAAAGAGCAGGCGGATGGGAGGCGGCCGGCACACAGGGACCTGCTGAGAGTGAAAGTAACTTTGAAGGGCCGGCGGGGCGGACGCGAGGGTGCACTTCGCAGGCTAGCCCCCCCCAGCCGCCTGACTCCACAGTGGCTCTACCCCTTCGGGAAATAGGACCCCCAGATGACACGGGAATCCCCAGGCTCCAGTACTGGCCATTCTCTACCAGTGATCTGTATAACTGGAAGACCCAGAGTGCTCGGTTTTCAGACAACCCCAAAGATTTAATGGCTTTACTGGATAGTGTCATGTTCACCCACCAGCCCATTTGGGATGATTGTTAGCAGCTCCTCCGAATCTTGTTCACAATGGAAGAGCGAGAAAGAATACAGGTAGAAGCTAGAAAGCTGGTCCTGGGGGACGACGGTCAACCGACTGCCAACCCCGACCTCATAAATGCGACTTTTCCTCTGACCAGGCTGGCATGGGACTACAACACGGCAGAAGGTAGGGGACGGCTACGCTTTTATCGCCAGACTCTAATAGCGGGTCTCTGGGCAGCTGCTCACAAGCCCACTAATTTGGCTAAAGTATACTCTGTTCTGCAGGGAAAGACAGAGAGCCCAGCT